GATAAGCTGACGTTAGCATTGGAAAGGCTAGCAACTAGCATGGATAAACTGGGGTTAGCATCGAAGAGGCTAGAAACTAGCATGGATAAGCTGGTGTTAGCATCAGAGAGGCTAGCGACTAGCATGGATAAGCTGACGTTAGCATTGGAAAGGCTAGCAACTAGCATGGATAAACTGGTGTTAGCATCGGAGAGGCTAGCAACTAGCATGGATAAGCTGGTGTTAGCATCAGAGAGGCTAGCGACTAGCATGGATAAGCTAGTGTTAGCATTGGAAAGGCTAGCAACTAGCATGGATAAACTGGTGTTAGCATCGGAGAGGCTAGCAACTAGCATGGATAAGCTGGTGTTAGCATCAGAGAGGCTCGTGACTAGCATGGATAAGCTAGTGTTAGCATTGGAAAGGCTAGCAACTAGCATGGATAAACTGGTGTTAGCATCGGAGAGGCTAGCAACTAGCATGGATAAGCTGGTGTTAGCATAGTAGAAGCTAGTGACTGGCATGTACAATATAAGTTGGCGTTAGCAGCATAGAGGCTAGCAATTAGCATGGATAAGCTGGCGTTATCCGAAAGGCTAGCGACTAGCATGGATAAGCTAGTGTTAGCATTGGAGAGGCTAGCACAGACAAGCTGGTGTTAGCAGCATAGAGGCTAGCGATTAGCACGGATAAGCTGGTCTTTTGTCAGTGTCAGACTCGGTGTCAGCCTATCATTAATCAGATCAGCTGGTTTATGGAATAGAAACAAGCTCAACAAAGATGTAGCAACAGCTGGTTGCACAATAGTCTTAATTTTGGCGCTTTTCTCAGCTATATTGGGTTCTTAGCCCAGGATGCCCCAACATGAAATAAAAAACCATACAAGCTGTGATCATGTGGCTCTTTATAGTTCTTTATCTGATTTAACATGGTGATTTTTCTAACTTACAGATGGTTAGCTGGATAAAAATTCCTCTTCTCCAACCTGAATTTGTAGGAAAATATGGAAGCCCATTTCCGCCACCCTGATAAAAAAATAAATAAAACTTGTATCTCATAATTATGACTTAGCTATCGAGATAGCTAAGTCATAATTATGAGATACAAGTTTTATTTATTTTTTATCAGGGCGGCGTAAATGGGCTTCCATAGATAATAATTTGGTGCAGCAAAAGAAAAACACTTCCCAACATCCATAAMAGGACAGAAAAAACACCCTGTAACAACAGCTGCTCAGTCCACTTCCCTGGAATATTTTCAGTGAAACCACAACCAAAACTGCAAACGTAACAGAATTATATTGATTTAGCAGCTTAACGCCTGAAATATACATTTAAATCGATAAATATAATTTATAAATTTGTCTTGAGGCAGTGCATGGTGGCTTTTATTAATTAAATTTAAAGAACGTGAAAAAAATTATTAATTAATGAAAAAAGGAAACTGGTTACAGCAACAGACAGAACAAGTTTAAAAAAATAAAAATGGTCTCAAAAAGTTCCTTATCTGTTGATGTTGGTTAAAATAAAAAGGAAAATCTGAGTGTGATGAGTGACAACCAGGAAGTCATCTCAGCCACTTCCTTTTCTCACCAGATAAAGAACTTCCTGCAGATTCCTGAAATTTCCCCTCACAAAAACAAAGGTAAAATGTTTATACAAAGACATTTTGCAGATAAAGTACAAATGATACCAAGCATTTTAAATGTCTAAAAGTTAACCAAATCATGAAAATAAATATTAGACGTCTGACATCAGCTGACCGGGTGGCTCAGTGGTGTACTTCGGTTTTTTCCCACAGACTGAAAACAAACATTGGTAACTCTAAATTGTCCCTTGGTGTGGTTTGTCTCACTTGTCCCTGGAGACCTGTCCAGGTTTCCCCCGTCTCATACAGTGGCTTTGAAACCTGAAAAAGCAGGAAAAGAAAACAGATAGATGGGCGGACATGATGGAATCAGAACTAACCCGTGTCAGCAGTCATGTGACATCCCTTTGTCTCGTTGGCATGGAAAAGCCGTCTCAGACGTGTGCTGTCTGTTGGTTACGGACAGCAGGGTGACCTTTGACCTCTTGGCTGAGGRTGAGGACATGTTCCCTTGAGAACAGGATCGGCTTTCCCATCGGCTGCAGCGACACAGTGCGCCCCTGGCCTTCTGCCTGAACTCCGAGGACACGAAGTAGAAGATGAAGGGATCGATGCAGCTGTTCCACGTGCTAAACGCTAAGCTAATCATGTAGGGGACGTAGAGGTCCTCGCCGAATCCGTCCATCCAGCCTTCGGTGTAGGTTAGCAGAAGGAGGACATTACTGGGCAGCAGACACACGATGAAGACCACCAACACTAGCACCGTCACCCCGATGGCGTGAGTGTACTGCTTCCCTTCGACCAGCAGGGTTCGCAGCACGGCACTGTGGCAGAACACCACAATGACGAAGGGCAGCAGGAAGCAGAGCGCAAACAGAGTGCTGAAGTACGGCAGGAAGTAGTTATCCTGGATTTTCTCAGGCAGTGCGTCGTGACAGGTGGTGATGTTCAACTCCATCAACTTGTAGGTCTGCTGGGACACCAGCAGGGGCAACATGGCACCCAGCATCACCACCCATACCATTCCACTCAAACATACAGAAACGTTCCAGCTGCGCAGAGACATGGCTTTGAAAGGGTGAACCAAAGCCAGGTACCGGTCCAAAGCCACCATGGCCAGACACCAGATTGAGCYGTACATATTACCGTAAAAAATGGCCGTGACTAAACGGCAGAAAGATTCCCCCAACTCCCAGTTGTTCCCTCGAAGGTGGTAGATGATACGAAACGGCAGAACCATCAGCAGCAGAAGATCTACCAAGGTCAGGTTGATGAGCAGCACGGTGGATGGCAGATGTTTGGTCCGGAACACAAGAACCCAAAGAGCCAGCAGGTTGGAGGGTAAGCCCACGCAGAAGGCCAGGAGGTACAGAACCGCTGGGTAAAGGTTGGTGGATGGTGCCTGGATCTCCTTCAGCTGCTTCTCCTTTAGAGTGGTGACATTACAGTATGTTACCAGCCGGAAGCTTCGTAGACCTGCAGAAACCAGAACATTCATCAGTCTAGAGACCTGCAGAGACCAGAACATTCATCAGTCTGTAGACCTGCAGAAACCAGAACATGCATCAGTCTAGAGACCTGCAGAGACCAGAACATTCATCAGTCCATAGACCTACAGAGACCAGAACATCCATCAGTCTATAGACCTGCAGAAACCAGAACATTCATCAGTCTATAGACCTGCAGAAACCAGAACATTCATCAGTCTGTAGACCTGCAGAGACCAGAACATCTATCAGTCTATAGACCTGCAGAAACCAGAACATTCATCAGTCTATAGACCTGCAGAAACCAGAACATTCATCAGTCTGTAGACCTGCAGAAACCAGAACATTCATCAGTCTATAGACCTGCAGAAACCCGAACATTCATCAGTCTGTAGACCTGCAGAAACCAGAACATTCATCAGTCTGTAGACCTGCAGAGACCAGAACATCTATCAGTCTATAGACCTGCAAAGACCAGAACATTCATTAGTCTATAGACCTGCAGAGACCAGAACATTCATCAGTCTGTAGACCTGCAGAGACCAGAACATTCATCTGTCTATAGACCTGCAGAGACCAGAACATTCATCAGTCTATAGACCTGCAAAGACCAGAACATTCATTAGTCTATAGACCTGCAGAGACCAGAACATTCATCAGTCTATAGACCTGCAGAGACCAGAACATTCATCAGTCTATAGACCTGCAGAGACCAGAACATTCATCAGTCTATAGACCTGCAGAGATCAGAACATTCATCAGTCTATAGACCTGCAGAGACCAGAACATTCATCAGTCTATAGACCTGCAAAGACCAGAACATTCATTAGTCTATAGACCTGCAGAGATCAGAACATTTACCAGTCTGTAGACCTGCGAGGACCAAAACATCTATCAGTCTGTAGACCTGCAGAGACCAGAACATCTATCAGTCTATAGACCTGCAGAGACCAGAACATTCATCAGTCTGTAGACCTACAGAGACCAGAACATTCATTAGTCTATAGACCTGCAGAGACCAGAACATTTACCAGTCTGTAGACCTGCGAGGACCAGAACATCTATCAGTCTATAGACCTGCAGAGACCAGAACATTTACTAGTCTGTAGACCTGCGAGGACCAGAACATCTATCAATCTGTAGACCTGCAGAGACCAGAACATCCATCAGTCTGTAGACCTGCAGAAACCAGAACATTCATCAGTCTAAAGACCTGTAGAAACCAGAACATTCATCAGTCTGTAGACCTGCAGAGACCACATCAGGTAGTTTGTCACTTTTAATTTGAAATATGTTGTAGTTTCTGCTCTTTGTGTTTTTGGATTCTGATAAGTCCCACATAAACCATAACAGACACTAGTTTGAGGACCTGTGGAAACTTTAAACCTTTTTTTTAGTTGTTTGTAGGTTCTGGTTTTAATGATGTTCTGCAGAGTTATTTTAATCTTGAAGGACTGAAAACAAAAACCACAGGTAAAAAAAAAAAAAAAAAAAAAAAAAA